ATTTTAACCTTCGTTACTTTCTCACTCTCGTGACAAAAGTTATTAATTTTGGCAAAAGAAACAGAGACCAGAAACATTTATTCCATTAAATTTTACGTCACAGTTTACTTGACCCCCCTCCGACTGATCGTAATTACATACCGATACTAAGGGTTTTAGCCAGACATGGCTTTCATATTTTTAATAAATTCAATCCTAATACTAAACAGAAGGTAGAAAGAATGCATAAAAATAAAGCGATAAAAATTAAAGCAGATAAACAAAACCTGGAAATTAGCAGCTTGGATTTGATTTTTGAAGGCCGGCTTGCAGTTCGGTACAATGATTACAACCTTTTCAAATCAATCCTAAACTAAATGGAAGAAACAATTTGCCTTACAAAATTCCTCTTAAAATAATGCAGAGAAACTAAAACAAAAACTAGAAAAAGAACTAAAATTAAAACAGAAAATATAAATGTGTCCCTGCTTCTAAAACTGCCTCTCTTTTATACTGTTAGTGAGCCTGGTTACATGGCTTTGAAGCTTCAAATGAGGAGAAAAATCCGACGGGAATGTAGTCAGGAAGTTAAGAAGAAATAGGGAGAGTCGTGGAGAAAAATCTTGGGAGGAAGTGGCAGGCGCCACTTCCCGTTCTTGTAAGGGTGGGAGTTACCACTTTTCATAATAGTTAGGAGTGGCACTTGCCACCCCCATCCATGTGGCAGCCGTCACTTCTCATACACCATATAGGTGGCAGGCGCCACCTCTTCACCATGTGGCAAGCGCCACATCCAAGTGGCAAGTGCCACTTGGTATGTGGTGGCCCCCACACCTTTTTCTTTCCTTTCTCTTTCTTTCTTCTTCTTTTCTTTCCATGGTCTTTTCTTCCTCTTTTCTTTCCATTTCCTTCATTTATTTCTCCTTTTATTATTTTAATCCATATTTATGGTAACCTATAAAACAGAAGAAAACAGAGGCGTAATCGAAGATAAATCAAATAAAACAGTAATAAAAGCATATAAAACTCATGCAAGTCAAGTCAAATATCTGATATAATTTCGTGTTATCATGGACTCTAGTGGTGTGTTGATTCTAAAAGCGCCGATGGCTGCCAATAGAACCTTTAAGGTTGAGTTAAAGGTTATGGAGCATCATTGTCTAGCTACCGCGACAAGTAGAGATGAGTGGTTATAACATTACCGTCTTGGTCACCTTAACTTTAGAGATCTAAAAATGTTGCAACAAAGTGAAATGGTAATGGGGCTTCCACATATTAGTATTCCAACCGAATTATGTGAGGAATGTGTGAAGGCTAAACAAAACAAGAATGTGATTAGCAAAGATATTGGTCGAAGAACCAAAGGCTTACTTGAGGTGGTATGTTTTGACGTTTGCGGACCGATGCAAGTAGAAACTTATGGTGGCAATTAATATTTTGTCACGTTCATTGACGATTTTAGTAGGAAGCTTTGGACATGCCTTATCAAGAGAAAAGATGAGGTATTTGAAGTTTTCAAGAATTTCAAATCCATGGTGGAGCGTCAAAGCGGTCGAAAGCTCAAAATTCTCAGAACAGATGGTGGAGGTGAGTATACCTCTAGTGAGTTTGGGAAGTTTTGTGATCTTGAGGGAATTGTACGTGAGGTGGTGCCTCCGTATACACCTCAACAAAATGGGGCTACCGAGAGGAAAAATCGTACAATAATGAACATGGTGTGTAGTATGTTATGTGAGAAAAATTTTCCTAAGGAATTGTGGGGTGAGGCCGTGTCTACAACCACCTACTTGTTGAATAGGTGTCCCACTAAGAAACTGGAGAAGCTCACACCAGAAGAGGCTTGGAGTGGCTTCAAACCGAATTTGAATCATTTGCGCGTATTTGGATCGATTGAATATCGTCATGTACCAAACCAACTTAGGAAGAAATTGGATGATAAGGGTGAGAAGATGATATTTGTAGGATATCACTCTAATAGAGGGTACAAGTTATTCGATGCAAGAAATTGAAAGATCGTCATAACCCGGGATGTGACTTTTAATGAAGTCAAAAGTGTAGAAAATGCTTCAGTAACCGGTTACACCAATGTGAGTAATTGGTTACCGACAGAAAATTAGCAGCAGCAGTTTTTTGAAATTTCTGATCCGGAAGCTTTCGACACCGTTGTACCAGCACCTACAGTAATGCAAAATGATGTTGTTAATAATGGTAGACCAGTGAGGTAAAGATTCTTGCCTCATAGAATCCGAGATTACGAGAGATTCCAAGATAACAAAGTGAATAACGATGGTGACTTTGTTCATTTCGCGCTTATGGCCGAATCCGAACCGGTAAATGAGAAAGAAGCCTTAAGCGATCCTAAATGGATATGTGCAATGAAAGAGGATCTGCAATCTATTTAGAAAAATGGTACTTGGGAGTTGGTCGATTTACCTCTTGGAAAGAAATCGATAGGTATGCGATGGGTATATAAGGTTAAAGCAAATCCCAAAGGTGAGGTAATCAAGCACAAAGCTCGATTAGTGGCGAAGGGGTTCTTGCAACGAGAGAGTATAGACTATGAAGAAGTATTCACACCGGTGTCTAGATTAGAGTCTATTCATTTGGTTGTTGGTATTGCGCATAGCAACAATTGGATGGTTTACCAAATGGATGTAAAATCTGTGTTTTTAAATGGTCATCTTGTTGAGGAAGTCTATGTGGGGCAGCCACTCGGTTTCATGATCAAAAATAAAGAAATGAAGTATTACAAGCTACACAAGGCGTTGTATGGTTTGAAACAAGCTCCAAGAGCTTGGAACAAATGTATTGACGGCTTTCTTATTGACATTGGTTTCAAACGATGTGTATCCGAACATGGAGTTTATGTGAAATCGGATACGAATGATGGTGTTATTATACTTTGCTTGTATATTGATGATCTCTTGATTATGGACAGCCATGACAAGAGTACTTCAAGGTTCAAAAGTGAGCTCATGAGCGAGTTTGAAATGATGGACCTTGGTGTAATGAATTACTTCCTTGGCATAGAGTTTTACAAGTCAAAAGTGGGGCTGCTCATGCACTAAAGGAGGTATTCTCTAGATATTTTGAAAAAAGTGTGATATGGAGCATTACAATGCTTCTATTACACCTTGTGAGGCTAGAGTGCAGCTGTCCAAAAGTGATGAGGAGGATGATGTCGATCCAACGCTTTATCGGAGCTTGATTGGATCGTTACGGTATTTGTGCAATACTCGACCGGATTTGACTTTTAGTGTCGGTATTGCGAGTAGATTCATGGAGAGACCTAAGGTGTCTCACTTGGCGGCGGTCAAGAGGATCCTTAGATATGTGAAAGATACTATTGGTTGCGGAATTCTCTTTCCCGCATCGGACACGGGGTGTAAGTGCAATTTACTTGGCTACACCGATTCTAATTGGTGCGGAGATGAAGATGACCGAAAATCGACGGCGGGGTACATCTTTATGTTCAGTAGTACATCAATCTCGTGGTGTTCGAAAAAGGAACTGGTTGTAGCACTCTCTTCTTGTGAGGCCGGGTACATTGCAGCGTCGTTAGGTGTGTGCCAAGCTATGTGGCTTATGAATCTATTGAAGGAATTGAGATGTGGTGATGATGTTCCCACCATGCTATTTGTAGACAATGTTTCCGCAATAAATCTTGCGAAGAATCCGATTGCACACGGAAGGAGCAAGCATATTGAGATGCGGTTTCATTATTTGAGAGAATTGGTCGGTGATGGGAAGCTTAGATTGAGCTATTGCCGAAGCGAAGACCAAGTCGCAGATTTGTTGACAAAGGGTGTGATAAATGATGTTTCAAGAGGTTGAAGAAGTGCTTAAGCATAGTGGACTTGGAGCAACTAAAGTGAGGTGGTGTGTTGATGTTGTTAAATTTCTGTTATTGCTGATTTTTCTACTGATTACCACGGTTAGTTTTTCCGCAAATAATAAAATTTAACAGCAGTGCCACTTTAGTTGTATTTTTAGATTTTATTTGTTATTCTCTCAATGTATAAATACTCTCTATATATTTCAATTCCTAATTAATGCCAAAATTCATATTCATCCAATATTGTTATTCTTTTCTCTCAAATTCTCTTTCTCTCTCAATTTCATCTTCTTCCCAATTTCTATCTTCCGTCATTCTTAAAACCTTCGATCTGTTTTTTTGTGTTCTAACATTTTAGTGAGTAATTATTCGAGTCAATATTTATATTCAATTTTGTAGATTTTTATCCTACTCGTTGTGAGTATTTTTCCAGATATCCATTAAAAGTGAATCTAATTGCCATCCATACTCCAAAGAGACCTTGTTACTTACATGATAAACGATAAAATTAAGTATTCATCAAGAGAGAGTTCAATTACATTATAATAGTCAAATTATCATATATTTATCAAAATATTATGTGTCACGTCACGATTAGACATCAATATGTAAAGTTTCTTAAAATCAAAAACCTATTTACATTTGGTCCGATATTACCGGAAGAGGTTCATACTTCAAATGAAGCATCTTGTTGAACAAGTCAGTTACTAATGACAAGTTTGAACTAATTTTTATATGCTTTTGGTATTTGATAAGTTGGAAATCGTTGAATATAAATCATAGGCGGCATAGGCCTGCCCCTTGTAGTTGGACCTACATTCCAAAATTGCACAGTCCTTTAAATCAGATATTGCAAATTGCAATCAATTTAAAACCCTATACAACAAACAAATTCTTGATCCACTAAGTAATGAGCTACTTGCACACAGAACTTTTTCTATGAATCCATTAAGAAAACACCAATTAATTCCCAAGAAATACACCTCATTCATAAATTTATTATAAACATCACAGAATCACAAAAGTATGAACTTTACAAAGTGTACATTTTTTCTCTCCAAGAGATAATAACAAGGTTCATGATCCTACCAATCTTATACCAACAACAAATAAACACAACATTTGAATTTGAATACCATATCACAACATTGAATGAAACTTAATCTTTTTATCTCTTCAAAAGAATCTAGCTTTTCTGTCCCAACTTCTTAACTATATTAGCCATGTATCTCCCTTGATATTCAGCAAGTGCAAGCTCAGCTTCACTTGCTTGCCTTGAACCATCTCCAGCAAAAACTCCAGCACCATATGGAGACCCACCTCTAACTGAATCCATTTCAAACATTCCAGCACCAAAAGTATAACCAATTGGAACATACAGCATTCCATGGTGAACTAGCTGTGTTATTGCTGTCCAGCTACAATACAATAGTAGTAATTAAATACGAAATCCTAACTTATCTAGCTGATATTACTAAGTTGAACGTTATTATAAGTTTTGAACCTTAATACTCATAATTGTCTGTATAAGTTTTTAGTAATTATTATTATTTTCTCTGGAGAAAAAAATTCATAATAGTATCATTTTATTCCTACCACAATTTAATTCATTGGCTTATCTATATTCCAAAAAAGTTCTTCAATCATACCCCACCCCAAGTTATACTGGTTTGCGCAAAACCAAAAGCACATGTTGTATTGTACCAAATTTTGTCCCCTAGTTTTCATGAACTATTATTGTTTCTAACAGAATAAGAACAATTTCCAACAAAAAGAACATTTTGCAACCAGTTTTAAGCAATCAAATCATAGTTAAATATATTTTTAGTTTCTGCATTTAGTCCCTCTAAACTAGAACAAAATTTATACAAGACTATACTTAAAAAAAATATTTTCTTCTACCAGTAATAACTATAAAACCTCAACAAACACAGTGATTCCGTTCAATCTAATAATATCGATTTTTTCAATTGAATTAAAATTTACGGATAGAAAAATAAAAGTTGATAGATAAACTTACGCGGTGGTTTCTTGGCCGCCACCCTGAGTACCAGTACTAACAAAAAACCCAGCAGGCAAACCAGCAAGCTTCTGCTCCCTCCACAACTGCCCGGTCGAATCGAAAAACGCCTTCATCTGCGCCGCCATACTCCCATACCTCGTTGGAAACCCGAACAACAACCCATCCGCCTCCACCAAATTCTCAGCAGATATCAAAGGAACCCCATCATCAACCTTCTCAGGTGCTTTCATGAGCTCCAACACTTCCTTAGGAAGTGTCTCCACCACACGGTACAAAACCCCTTCAACACCATCAACAGAATCAACTCCTTTTTTCAACGATCTTGCCAATGATTCAACATGGCCATACATTGAATAAAAAACAACATAAACTTTCAACTTCTTCAATGTTTCTGAGGTTGTTGCTACATCTATGCTTCTACTTGTTGTTTCATTTTTTGGAACTTCACTTTCAACAACACTAAGTGGTTCATTCTCTTCTGGATCATTGTTAACTGGTGCTTTTTTCTTGCTTGGTATGCAACCACTTCCTTTCCCCATATTGATGAAATCTTGAAACTAACTCAATTGGTCAAAAGAAAATTTTGGTAAGAATAAGATAGGTTTTCTAAATGATGTAAAAAGTGAAGTAATAATTAGTTCTTCATATCTTGGCTTTCTTGTTAAACAAGATATTATGATGGAAATTGGTAGAAGAATGAAAGAGATTGATTAATTTTGGTTTTATGAAGGTTAATTTGGATTATGTGATATAGTTTTATTTTATGTAGTAGTGATAATAATAAAAAATAAAAAGAAAAGGAAAAAGACAGAGAGGTGGGTGGGTGGAATATAATGTAACATGAATGAGGTGGATTAGACTTCACTTATATGAGCTGTTTTAATGATTTTATTAATTAAGATAAAATTATAATTAGAAAATGGTTATTAGCTGGCATGATATCTTGTGAATTAAAAAGACAACTTCATGTTATTTTTTTATTTATTTGGGAATGAAAGTCTTTAGAACAACATGGTGTGAGCATCTTTTAAGGATATTATTATCAGTATTATTATATCACTATATTGGAAATTTATAAATTATTTGTATGGTTTAATTTTATTTACATTACCACAGAATAATAAGTTGGACATCTTTTCATGATTATTTGAGTTTGAATTTAAGATGACAAAAAAGTTTTCATGTATGATATCTGTCTCTTTGTCTACTCATCAAAATTAAAAACTAAATTGTTAAGAAAACTTAAAAAGAAAAAAAAAACATGAAATTTTTCTCTAACTTTATCACTAAACTTTGTGATGACAAATTTAAAGAGCAAATTTATTTTTGATGTATTGACAGATGATTTTGATGTAAATTTAAAGAGAAAAAATCTATTGATTTATTGCTTGATGGTTTTTTTTTTTATGATTTTGATGCTGACATTAATGGTATTGATAAGGAAGAGATTCAGTTTGATGCACGAAATAAATAGTTTCTAGAAGGAAAAGATTCAGTTTGATGCATGAAATCATAAGATTTGTTATGTTTTTTTATATGTTATTAACCATTTGTAGATATTTTAAATCTTTGAAAACAAAACTCCTTCCGTTTAGATAGGATATTAATTTTTAATACATATATTCTAACTCAGATAACCAATTGTCTTGCGGTCATACCACGTCTCCATAAGTTAATGTTTTCACGTAAATGTTTTAAGGGACTAAAGTGAAATATTAAATTAAGTTAAAGATTTCGTGACTAATTATGCCTATTAAATACTAATCAATTAAGACATTATTTTGAAAATTATTTTTGCAAGAAAATTTTGCAATCTTTCAACTAATATTTTTTTGTTGCTGATATTGTTTCTGATCATTCTTGTCCTATTTTATTCTTTGGATTTTACTGATATAATCCTAGAGCAGAACTAGACACCATCACAACCATGCCAAAATTCTCTTTTGCTGCCTCCTACAACATGTTCATTAAAATTCTTCAACTAGAATAATTCCGCATTGAGTAGGGGAGAAGCACAATTTTCCATTGTCTAATAATTTCAACTCAGGTATGAGGTTTACATTTTCCATTCCACGAGTTTCATTGTTTCCCTAATGACAATGATGGGAGCAAGGGTATTTTTGTATGGTGTCTCATCTTAAAACGCTACATTTATGCAGTGACAAACGCAAAAATACAATTTGATAAGCTATTGAGAGTGATCCATATTTGTTTATGGCATTCAAGAAGTCTTTAAGGGGAGTTAGGCAATGGATATATGGAATGTGTATGAGCTTTCATGCCATGAGTAGGGCATGTCATCATCCTTCTAGTTTGGTTCAGATTACTCATCAAACATGGGAGGTCGGAAGTCACATTATGGGTATCGTAAAATCTTATACAACATACTATGTTAACCTTGATGTAAACGAGGGAATTAGATTAGATGCAAGGTTGTTAGAAAGAGTTTTCACAACACGTATCTTCATTGTAAAAATCATACCTCTTAAGTGTCGTTTTGCTTTCTCGCAGGCCTTGAAAGAAATGTTTCTCAAGGTGTTTGTTGAACCTAGATCTGTAGGTGCTTGCGTCCGGTTGTTACTTCTTCCTCGTTGAACTTTACAGGTGGTCAAGCCTCATAATAAGCAGGATCGTAGGTTTGGGAATTAAAAGGCCTTGCAACAACATCATATTTAAGAGTGCTTAGATACTTTGAGGGATGTAGATGGTTTTGCCAAGTTAGTTGATAGTGTGTTGCTCAACTCTGATCAAGATAAGTTGGGTTATAATGGAGTTCATGTAGAGGATAAAGATGTAAATGTGAGCTATAACATCAAGCATTGCCTTTGTAAAGTTGTAGATGATCACTTTACAACAGCTATGAAAGTGTTGGGCTCATCTGGAGTAGCCTCCTATAATGCACATACTATGAAGGCTACTAACTCGTACAAACCACCCCTCAATGCCTACCACCTAGTTCTATGAATCTCCTCTAGTGGCTAAAGTTGATACTATCTTCAGGTGCATTAAGTCATACTCTAAAGGGATTTCATGTGGTAGAAATGATTTGCGAGCACATTTATTGAACATATTATGTGAATAAGGTTTTGTTGTGTCTAGAGTTCTCTTATGTGAAATCACTTTAGCTGTTAACATATGGCTGAGAGGGAGATGTCTGGTGAGTTTGGAAGAAATCGTTGCATTCGTACCCTTGATGGCATTATTAAATTCTAATGATGGGATACGATCAATTCCTTTGGGTTCTATTTGAAGGCGGTTGGTATCCAAGATTGCAATTAGAGATGAGAATAGGTCATACTCGCCTACTGATGTCTATAGCCTAGCCTAATAAAGGTCAGGCCAGACCATACCTATTTAATAAAAAAATTAGGCTTAGACTTTTCAAAAAGCCTATTTAATTAAATAGGCCAGACTTATGCTATTAAAAAAACATATGAAGCCTTATAGATGGGCCTATATTTTCATATATATTAAAAAAAATCTAAATAGGTTGACCTATATATGCATATATATTAGAAAAAATACTTAATAGGTTGGCCAGCATATGCATATATATATTAGAAAAATGTTAAATAGGTCGGCCTATATATGCATATATACATCGACGTATAATGCCTCTTAAGTAATATGGATTAATTGAAAACCTTAATAGAAATAGGCTTTTAAATAGGCTTTCAGGCCAGACCAAGCTTTTAAAAAGGCCAGACCAGACAAAAAAAAAAAGAGTCTATAGTAGGCCATAGGCCAGACTCATGCCTTGCAAGTTTATCGTAGGTCAGACTCATGCCTTTTAAGTTTATCATAGGTCAGGCCCAGGTGTTCTAAAGCCTGGCCTAACCTAGCCTATTTCCATCCCTATTTGCAATGAAAAGGGTCGGTGTGGATGTGGCACGATATCTCAATGATTTCCAGTTTGGAATTACGGTATCGGGTGGTGTTGAAGGCATTTTGCACAGTGTCAACAAGGTGTTGAGAAAGAGACGTGGAGATAGATCTTTGACTATGATCACCATAGATTTAATGATTGCTTTCAAACTGGTAAATCAATTAGTCATATTGCGAGAGGTGAGGGTAAGATGCCTGTATATTTCCTTGTGGATTGAGTTTCTCTATGGCCAAGCAGTAAGATTATACCTTAGGGATGAGCATATTATGTCAGCCACTTGAGTGGAACTAGGTGACCCATTAGGGCCGCTCTTTTTTTCCCTTGTGTTATTGGCACTTACTCATTAGATTATAGACAATTATAAGCTTCTTCTTCATACCTAATATCTTGATGACGAGACCATCATAGAGGATTCACATAAGGTGGATAAATCCCTTGACTTTATTATGGAGATCTGTCCAAGATTAGGTCTCGAACTCAAAATTCATAAAACTGAGAATTTTTTGTCTTTATATGATGGTAGTAAACTTCGTGGAGAGTTGTTTCCTTTGGACATTGGGAGGCCGATGTTGGGGATGAAGTTGCATGGAGGGGATTTTAGTCGAGATGAAGGCTTATTATAAGGGTCATCCATGAAGAGAACGACCAGGGTTGTTAAGTTAATGCATCATCTACCACAATTAAGAGATCCTTAAAGTGAGCTTCTTCTACTTCGATCTTTCATGGGCATTACCAAAATCTTTTTTGTCCGTAGAACGTGTCAACCTAATCATATGGATAAAGCAACTATTTGGTTTGATAAAGAGTTGCGAAGGACGGTTAAAGATGTCATGGTTGGTGAAGGTCCTTTCAATGGAGGATGGTTTCTTTACCTATTATAGTTTAGGAATTGGGTTTGTACTCGACATTAGAGGCAGCCTCATATGCATTTGTGACTTACAGGGTCCAATATTGGATGTTAAAAGATCATATATTGAGAGATGGTGGGATATATAGTATGAACCTCGATTTCGACAAAGCTTTGGATGATCTTAGTGTCGCGGTTCCAGATTTTAAGCTTAGTGGTTTTACTAGCAAGAACATTGTCTCTCCTAAAGCACAACATGTTTTGGAGAGTACCACTTTTAGTAAAAATGTTAAGGACATAGATGTAAAGTTTGAAATGACTACAATAATGAAAGTCGTTTTTGGTTGTTTGCAAGCACCACATGCTCAAAATTTTCTCCTTGCTATCCCTATTGATGGTTTATGCTAACATATGTCCCTGGGAGAGTATCTTACCATACTTAAATACCGCTTTATGATTCCCTTATTTTCTGTTGATGAGGTTTTCCCTGTTTTCCACAAGGTGTGCTTGAATATATTTGGAGAACACACCGTAAGAAAAATTTAGGATTTAAATACCGACATGACTTTGTTATGGATGTATTATTTGGTATATTTTGACGTGCGGAGTATCTGTGAAGAAAGTGGCGCAAGTGAGTTTCTTGACTGGCCCACAAGAGGTGAGATTGACATTTAGACCAACAAATGTTCTGATGCACGTGTGGGTAAGAGGAAAACATGCATGTGTAGACTTGACAGGGGTTTCTCCACTGATGGAACTGAGGACTGAAGGTTTTATTATGGAACACACAAATCTTAAAGTCGCTT